ACGTAGCAAGGAGATCTGTAAAATAATCCATGTGACATCAGGGGTTCAACCGTAATATTACGAAGCTACGAGAATACTTTTTGTGCGCAAAAGAAAAAAAAAAGAAAAAAAGACTTTATTCAACAATTCATCACCCTGGTGCCATTTTGGAGAATATCTGCTGGACGTAAAACAACGTATGCTGTTCTGTGTCAGCTGCGTCACATGGATATGCTGTTTTCGTTCAGATCAAATCACAACAACGTAGGAAACAGATCCGGCGTCACGCAGCTGACACAGAACAGCATACGCTGTTTACGTCCAGCTGATATTCTCCAAAATAGCACTACAGGGTGATGCGGAGGAGACGAATTGTTGAATTTTTTTTCTTTTGCGCACAAAAAGTATTCTCTTAGCATCGTAAAAATTACGGTTGAACCCCTGATGTCACATGGATTATTTTACCAATCTCCTTACTACGTCTCTGGACTTGGGAACATTTCAGTTGTATTGCTGTCTATGCAGGGTCAGACAGCTCTCAGATTCCATCAAAAATATCTTAATTTGTGTTCTGAAGATGAACGAAGATCTTACGGGTTTGAAACGACATGAGGGTGAGTAATTAATAACAGAATTTTTGGGTGAACTAACTCTTTAAACTTTACATTATTACTTCAAGTGAACTTTACAAGTAGAGTTTTTTTAAATATACTTTTAAGATTTGAAGTACACTACATTCAATGCAACGACGTACATTTCATTTTCACAAGGGATCATCAAATCGTGTATAGCTTTAACTTGCTTCAAAGTTTAACTTTATGATCAAACATTGTCCATTTTTAATTTGTTGATGTTAACTTTGGTGAGTTTAGCTTTTCTTCAATCACACCATGCTGACACTGTGAACACTTACTCTGAGTCGTCCACACTCAGTGGGATGTCACTTTCAGACTGACTCGGCTTCATGCCACTATCATCCTGTTTCCTCCTTATCTTCCCAAACAGGCGTGACTTAGACTTTAACCTGGACTTCTTCCTTCCTAAACATCAAACATATCATGCCTTTAGAATAGTATGTCATATATTATAAAAAACTGAGACTGGATTAACTCATGACAGCATTGAGCTTTACTGAAAGATTTCTGACCTGTTAAGTCGTCACTGCCTTCTCCCTCTGGGTCTCCTGAAGCCTCCAGAACATTCATCTTCACCAGTACAGCTGCTAATGAGGACTGTTACACAGAAATCAGATGAGACAGAATGAGGAGTAAAAAAGAAATACAGGCGGGGTATGGAAAGCGTCAGTGGAATTATCAAAGGGAATGTTCTAGTCTAATGTAGTAAGACAATAGCAAATTATAGTTTACTAACTATTAACTGTTACTTGTTGTTCTTAAATTCACAATAAAGTGAAGTAGTTGTTCTACAAAGGAGAGCAGCAAACGAGTAATTTATTGACATGTAAAATACTAGAGGAATGGCATATCTCTGGTGTGGCAATGTGGCTAAATTCTGGATCTGATAACAGAAGGCTTTTCTCAACCCAACAGAGACCAAAGGTTTCTTCTGCAGTCATATTTTCCATGTGTTTTTCCATTACTGAAAATTATGGATGTTATGTTAGTTTAGAGCATACAATACTGTTAAAAATTTGAGGAAAGTAAGTTAATATTTTTTGAAGAAATTAATACTTTAATTTAGCAAGGATGCATGAACTTGAACAAAAGTAGCAGTAAAGACATTTAAAAAAAAACTTATTTGAAAATTTCTATTTCAAATAAACACTGTTCATTTGAACTTTCGATTAATAAAAGAATGCTGAAAAAAATGTATCCCAGTTACCACAAAAAATAATAAGCCTGGAGTAATGGCTGCTGAAAATTCAGCTTTGGAATAAATACATTTTAAATTGAAAATAGTTACTTGAAATTGTAATAATATTTCACAGCGTTCCTGTTTTTACTGTATTTATGTTTTGAATGGTAGTGTATATAAGTGATTTTTTGTTTTACTTTAATCAAGTCTGTTATGTGCTACATGAATCACATATTAAATGCAGACTGTGTTAAATCAGGGGTCAGTAACCAAGTAATTGGCATACAAGCTAGATTGTTATTTATTTAGTACTCTTTCCTCATTGTCAAACGGAGTTGTTTAGAACCAGTTGTCTTGTTTACGTAGATATTAAGTGAAATATGTGAGACTGTGTCCTTTATTTGGACAATGTTCCTCACACTTATTTCAACCTTATAGGCGTCACTATCCTTTATTATAACAACAAACCTTTCTTATCACTGACCATGCCTTGATAATGCAGATATGCAACAGAAAAAAAACATGCAAAGTCCACCCAGTCCATCCCTTTTTTTGACATTTGCTGCTCTGTGATTGCTTTCCTAATTTACACAGAAGAAACTTCAACATGTTTCTTAGTGTTAATTGTTAAAATTATTAAATAAAATATGTCTCCATGTTTGAGTACACAAGATTGAATTCTCATGTAGCTGAGGGATCTTCTTAAAAACATTTGGGGGGGGAAACATTACGCAGACTATGACATTTTTCCTAAGCAGTCACTGCCATGTCAACAAGGCTGATACCTACAGTAGCATCAGACACAAATCACACAGAATATAAAGATAATATTTGTGCTGGACGGCACTGCATAGAGATCAGTGTAAGCATTCACTCAGCACTAATCCTGCAACTCTAGATTAATCGGAAACTTCCCAACTGAAAATACTGCCATGACAAATAAATTCTCACAGAAAAACAATGCACCAAAAACCTTGTTACATACAATACCGTTCATAAATTTGGGGTCGGTAAGAAGTCCCTTGCTGACCAAAGTTGTATTTATTTCGATCAAAATTACAGTAAAACAGCAACTTTATTACATTTTGAAATAATTGTTTTCTAATTTAATGTATATTTTAAAATGTAATTTATTCCTGTGATGCAAAGCTGAATTTTGAGCATCATTACTTTAGTCTTCAGTGTCACATGATCCTTCAGAAATCATTTTGCTGCTCAAGAAACATTTGTTTTTATTAATGTTGAGGACAGATGGACAGCTTTATTGTAGATGTTTTGTAGAAACAGTGATAAAATTTTTTCAAGATACTTTGATGAATAAAAAGTTCAAAAGAACATGCATTAATTTAAAATAGAGATATTTTGTAATATTGCGTAATAAAATATTTTCTTTCAAAAACAAAAATATTATCGACCCCGAACTTTAAACATTAATACTAATGACTGACTTTGATTACTTATTGAATATTTATATATCATATATAAGTAATGAAATTGCTATGAACGATGCTGTACTATAGTTACCCTGGACAGCAAAACATATGTACTTCAAATAATATTAAGCAAGATAAATGACATCACTTTCTTTGTCAGTAAAAATCCTTCTCTTTCCTCGTTTCTGTGTGATTTAGCTTCTGTTCTTCCTTTTAAAAGATACACATGATGTCCTTACATCCTATGAACCATGGCAGCTCTGTCCCAATCACAAACATGCAGAGAGATGGAGGAACTGAAAGACAGACCGGAGAAAGCAAAATCAGGAGAGGAACTACTGAAATAAAGAAAGCAAGGAAGAGGAAAAGGAAAAGGAAAAGCAGGCTCTGACAAAGAGACACATTGATGGATTTGATGTTTGGCAGTAAGGAGTTGACTGGCAACTCATGCTTTCCCTGCATGCCTAAGCTTCTTACTAAACACTGAACAGCTTTTGGAGCAGAGAGAGTGTGCTGCTGCTGGCCGAGTGAAGGCATCAACACACCACCCAGCACTCTATCAACAAGAGCAAGTGTGTATATGTTGATAGCATGAGCATATGAACAGAGCAGTCAGGTCAACTGCAGGTATCCAGAGCATCACTTCTGATTTATATTCCTCCTGTGTTTGTAAATGATTTGTTAAAGAGACAGTTGAAAATATCACTGTTAAGACAACTGAACAACTGTGGTTTGCGTCATGCATTTGCATCCACACGTCAGAGTAGGTCAGTTTTTGTATGCAAATCATTTAAACACCGTCATATTCCACTCAAAGGTCACTTAAGCTGGATGAAAAATGAATCTTCTATTTTTGTGTATATACACTACAATTCAAAACTCTGAGGTGAGTTTTTTTTTTAGAAAAAAATTATTACTTTTGTATATTTTTTTTTTTTTAGATCTGGGACCCATTCATTGTCTTTTTTCTTAAATGTCATTATGATTGTGGTCTGAATTTCTTTCTGTGTGTGCATGCGTGCATACCTATGTATGTAAATACTTTCTTTTTGTAAGGATTTGTTTGTCGAAATATGTGCGTATACTTTATATATGGTTAAATTCTTTTGTTTCTAAACTTTAATGATTCATCATGTATTCTATACATACTTGACATACTCTGTATTACAGTATAAGTATGCATTGAGAATTTTTTTCTTCTTCTTTATTGTATGTATTTTAAATTGAGTTCAGTTTTATTTTATTTTTATTTACATATTTTATTTTATTTTTAATACTTTTATTCCGCAAAGGCACAAATTAAATTGATCAAAAGTGACAGTAAAGACATTTTTTAATGTTACAAAAGCTGTTTTATTTCAAATACATGTACTGTTCTTTTGAACTTTCTATTCATCATAGAATCCTGAAAAAAAGGATTCTTTAAAAACATTGATAATAGTAATAAATGTTTTTGAGCACCAAATCATCATATTAGAATGATTTCTGAAGGATCATGTGACACTGAAGACTGGAGTAATGATGCTGAAAATTCAGTTTTGCAATCACAGGAATAAACAACTATATGTTTTATTTTGAATTGTAATAATATTTTACAATATTGCTGTTTTACTGTATTTCTGATCAATTACATGCAGCCTTGGGTGACCTTTTTCCAAAAATATAAAAAAAAA